TGCCCGGGGAGCCCCCCAAAGCAAGGCCGAGCCCAAGGCCTCCCCTGGGGCTCCGAGCCCGCCGGCTGGGAAGGAGCCCAAGCAGAAAGGGACCAGTTCCACTGCCAAGGTGAGTGTGAGTGAGCTCTGGTGAGTGTTCAGCGGGCACAGCTCCCCTCTGCCGGTGTCACTTGCTCGTGCTGTCAGTGAGGCTGAGCAGCACCAGCCCAGGGGTACAGGGGTGAATTGGGGAGGCTCTAATTTGGGTTCTGTTCTCCTGGGTGCCAGTTGTAGCCCAGCTCTCACTGAGGGCTTGCTCATTTGCCCCCAGGACTGGGAGGTGTCTCTTCTCCAGCCAGCCATGCTCTCTGGAGAGCTCTGGGATCCCCTGAATGAGGGGATTTGGTGCTTTGCAGGTGCCTGTGCTCTGCAGGCCTGGTAAGGTGGAGGTTGCTGTGGTTTCTCTTTCTCTTTCTTTATGCCCCATCCTCTGGGACCTGGGGCTCATGAGCTGACTGTGTGCTGTGTGTTTGTGTCGGGCTCCTCTCCATCGTGGGCTGTTTTCCTCAGCCAGCAGCTTCCCTCAGCGAGGGATCAGTGTTTGCAGTGCTTCCAGGGGACTGAAGCTGCTGCTGCTCCAGTGTTGGGGGCAGGTGGGCAGTAGAGCAGAAGGTGCTGCACAGTTGATGGATGGTGTGGGCATCTTGACTCTGGTGGGCCAGAAGCCCTGGGAACATCAAACAGAAATGTAAGAGAGGAAACGAAAAGGAAATTGCATTGTTTGGAGGAAGTCATGCAAGACAGCAGGTGCAAGGCTGTGGTTAAGCTGTATAGCTCAAAAACATGAATAATGTGGTTATTGCTCAGCAATGAAAGATTTTACCCAAGGCTGTAAGAGTATATAAATGGAGTTGTAGAAACAATAAATGGCTTCTTGCTTGCACCAGGAGGAGATGCTGTGCTTCCAGGGGCTCCTGTTTCACTGGGCTCTGTTTGTCTCCCTGATGCAGAATGCAAACACAAAAGAGAAAAATCAGACCCCAGGTGAGAAAATGCCCAACATGAGTGAGAAGACAAATCTGAACCAAGGAACCAAGGCTGCCAGGAAGGAGAGTGCTGTGGCTGCTGCAGACAGCTCCAAGAACAAAAAGGAGCAAAAGAACCAGAAACAGGTGGAAAATATTAAAGAGAGGTGAGAACAGCCCTGCTGCTCCCCAGCATTCTTCCCTAACAGGAGTTGCTGTGAGGAGGACTCAGGACTCCAGCCTGAGGTGCTGGGATGGGGTCAGTGCTTACCTTGGATATGTGGAAATGGAATTGTCTTGAAACTGAGGTGAAGTGGTTGAGCATGACAGAACCAGTGTTGAATGGGACCTCAGCACAGGGGATGTCCTGGGGGATGTGTTGAACCTGCTTGAGCATCTGATGGACAAAAAAAAGATTATTCTTTTAGTTCTTGCTCTAATGAGCACCATGTGCTGCACCCACACAACGCTTCAGGTGAATAGTGTGAAGAGCAGTTTTGATGTTTTGCTTAATGTGTGTGAGCTGGAAGGGGTGGGAAGTGTGACTCTGCTGGGCCAGAGCATCTCCTGCTGCCTTTAGGAGCCCATTTTTCCTTTTTGCACTGGGCTTTGCCCTAGGCCTGCTCAAGCATCAGTCTGAGGGAACTGCTGCCAGAGTGCATGGGTCTTGCAGCCACTCAGCTCGAGTGTGATTTGAGGTTTGCAGTGATTTGTGCAATTGAAAAACGCCAACAGAATCCCTTCTTTTCTGCAGTTCTGTGAGCCGCACTGAGGGTGTCACAGTGTATTTCCATGCAATACTTTCCAAAGACTTCAAGCTCAACCCTGATACTGATAAAGTGTTCATCAGGGCCCAGGGCATTCCTTCCTACGCCAGCTGGAAGGACAACATCTGTGAGCTGAACTGCACCAGGTGAGTGTCCCCTGCCTGGGTCCCTCTGGGGCCTCAGCCACTGTGCTGGGGTGGCTCTGTGCCCACAGCTGGGGCTGCAGCAAAGGCTTTCACAGTGGAGAAAGCTGCTCTGAAGTGTTCCTGTGAAAGAACAGTCACTGTTCCTATTAGAAATGGAGCAATGCGTGAAAAGGAGGTCTGTAGATCACCTAACGTGTCCTTTGCCTGCCTTTGCTGTGTTTGTGTCTCCAAGGGACCTGGGAGAACATGGATACCTCATTGAAGGCGCTGTAACTCTCAGCAGAGAAATCCTGGATAAATACATTCCTTACAAGTACTGGGTGTCCTGTGGGAAGGGGGATTATGAGTTCATCTACAAGAAGTCAGAATCCAATCAACCCGTGAATCGCTGCTTGCTGATAAACAGGTCCCTTCTCAACAATGGGGGTGAGCTGTGCTGCTGGACCTGCACCCTGGGGTGATCCCTGCTGTCCTGCCAGGAGCCCTGTCTGGGCTGCTGGGGGGATTGCTGAGGCAGCTGGGAGGGAAAAGGCCCTGATTGCAATGGTTGTTTCCCTGTGTTCCTGTTCCAGAGTGGCACCAGTATGATGACATTGTGTGTGCAAGGCCTTCCAAGCTCAAAAACTTCTGGCAGATCTTTACTTTTGATAAAACCAAGGAAGTGGTGGAAGGGAAGAAAATAGCTGCCAATATTATGCTAGAAAGTATCTTCAGCATTCTTGGAACCTGGAGTCCTGACAATCTGAGGAATTTCTTCTGCCAGCTGAAGCAGTTCCATAACGTTGCAGGAGCCCAGCGAGTGTTTGATGGCAAGGAAACGGTGTGGAGAGAGTTAAACTTCAGCACAGAGCAGGTAATCTGCCTTCTCTTGCACAGAGACAGAAAACACTCTGTTACTGAACCCAAACTTTAATGTTGCTGTTGACCTCGCTGGGTTAATTTTGCTTTTCCAGTCAAAGTTCAGGCACAGAAGCAGTGGGGATCCTTCTGGGGTGGCTGTCACTGACTCCTTGGGGGCTTCAGTCAGCCTGTGCACCTCAGTGTGGTTCTGAGACCCCAGGGGGGTCAGCAGCAGGGCTGTGACGTGGTGACTTCACACCTGAGTGGGTTTTGTGTCTGGGTATTGACTTCCTAAGCCTTGCCATTAAGTTTTGCTGCCAGTTGTTCTGTCACTGACAACTCTGCACTCATGTCTTGCTCCAAACCTGCCTGCTTTTTGGGAGAAGCTCCTGATCTTGTTCTAAGCAGTGATGCCAGCAGGGCTTCTGGAATCCAAAATTTCTTACTTGACATAATTAGGAAATGTGACAGAAATGCCTCATTGTCTGTTCTGGTTGTTGGGGCTGCTTCTTCCTCTCCTGTGGCCTCGCTGCAATCGGCAGAAGACATTGGCTTCAGAAGAGAGACTAATGCTGTGCTTGCTTTGTTTCTTCTCTTCTTTGCCCCAGGTGAATGATTTGCTGCTAAAATACATGAAGAAAATAGCTGCCCCTTTCCTTGCACCAGAAGCAGCTCCAGAGGACAGAATCATCCAAAGCAAGCTGGCTCTGGGGCTCACCATTGTTGTGGTAGTTGAGAACTATTCATTCTCAGTACCTAAAAGTGACCTGGCCGACCTGTGCAGCCTCCTGTGCTTGGATCAGGTGTCACCACAAGCTGTACAGGATGAGATCCATCACATCAAACAGGCTTTTGCAGGAGTTACCAGGTAAGTGCTCCATGTACCTTCTAACCAGGCTGGTGTTGCTTTGATAAAGCAACAGGAATCCAGCTCTCTATTGCCAGAGAACCAGAGAAAAAGCTACATTTGGAGGTATTTTTGGAGGTCTCAATTCCATCCTCCTGCCTGAAGCAGGGCTAACATTCAGGCAAGGCTGCAGTGCACCATTCCACACCTGTTGGTTGGTTTCCCCTGGAGTGCCTGTCTGCCAGGTTGTGATCTGACTGCTTAGCTGGAGCTGGATGTGGAGTTCTTCACTCACACAGCTGCAGCCATTGCATTTCTTTCTGGAGCCCTTCTCTGTGTGGCTGTCACTGGGCTGGGGTGGCTGTGGTGTCACTGGGTGGGGAGGCTGTAGCTGAAGGATTGGATCTTCCCAGGGCTCCAGCAGCAGGGTCTGTGCAGAGAGATTCAGCCACATTGCAGCTCTGGGCCTTAAACCTGCACAGGTACCCTCTGCAGTGAGGAGTAGATGGAGCTGAAATAATGCCCAGAGGTTAATTAGAGGCACACAGGGAGATTGAAACGTAGCCTCCCACACCCCGAGGGTGTTCTCAAGGCTGGGATAAAGCTGCTCTTTCACTCAGTGTGTTTGTTTCGTTTTGTTTTTTTTAGCTTGAAGGTCGACCTGACAAGCTTGTGCCAGAGGTGCCTTGAGTGTAACGTGGAGCAGTGGGTGTGGGTCCTTCCCCTTCTGCATTCCTTTGCTGCTCCCCTGCAGCAGGAGCACGGGCTGCTGGAGGAGGACACCTGGGCAGGGCTGGAAGGGCTTCCATTTGCTGAAATCAGGAGGAAGCAACATGGGTGAGTTTTCCAGAGCTCTCCGTTCCTCCCAGTGCACTCCTCATCTCTCTTTTTTGTTTGTTTGTTTTTCCCTCCCTCCTTTGTAAAGAGTATGAAATGTAGCACGTTTGGGGTACTTGGGCACAGGCACACTGGTGGCTCAGAGGTCACTGAGTCAGTGTGACCCCTCAAACACAACCCCCCCCAGTTCTGGCAGCCAGGGAGCAGGTGGGAGCTAAAGCTGCTCCTCTTGTGTACAGTCTGAGCAAGACCAGGAGTGTCTCTTCCCTGGTGCTTGTGCTCAGTGGTTTGGTTCTGCTGTGCCACCCCAGGGCCCTGGGGCCTCCCCCTGATCTCAGCTGCAGGGACAGAAGCACAGGAATGAGGAGGAGGCTCCTGTGTGGGCTGCACAAGCTCAAGGCCCTTTGTTCCTTGGAATGCTGAAGATTTTGTTTTGTCTCCCTCCAGAGAGACCCTGCTGGCACGAATGAGAGAAAAGAAGCACCTGATGGAATTTGATGGGACTCTGGTCAAGTCCTGGCTCTGTGTGCTGCCCCTGGAGAGCCTGGCTGAGTTCATAAGAGACTTCTCCAGTGAGCTCCTAGTTACCCTTCAGGGTGTTCTGTACAGGCTGGAGAATGTTGACCTCTTGTGGAGCCGCTCTCAGGTTTGTCATCTGGCAGCTCTGCCCAGCTCTGGGATGAGGGCTCACACTGGGCTCCTGGCTGTCCTTGGGCACCCCTGAGGGCACCGGGCTGGCAGCAGGTCACAGCACAGAGAGCTTCAAACCTGGCTGACAGCAAAAGCAGCTGCTCTGAAGGCAGACACTCCTCAGGGGGAGAGCTGGGGTTGTCTGCAGCAAAAAGTGGTGTTGGCATTGATGAGGGGAGGGTTTCTTGGCTGCGTTTGCTCTTGGTTACCGATGGCAAATATTTCATTCATGACCTCCTCAGACATCTACTGAAACTGATTTTTGCACAGGAGGGTTGGGCAAGAAGCTGCTGGTTTGGGAGATTTTCCTGCTGTTGTGAAAACTCTTGTGTTGATGTGAGGACAGCAGGAGTAGGGCCTTGCAACTAATAATAGATTTGAGACCTCCAAATTGCAAGGACAGCTTGGGTTTGTGCGTATAAAAGCTGCCCAGGTGTTGGCTCTGACATCCAGTAAATAAGTTCTGCTATTTTACAGTGTGTTTATAAAAATGTTGGAGAAGATGCAAAAGAATAGTGAGTTCCTTCTTCCTCAGCTAATCAGAGATCAGTCTGTACAATTTCTTCCACAGTTTCATATTTTTGTCTTTCCATTCTCAGGTAGAGGAGATTCTCACCACAGTGCTGAGTGCCTTGGATGAGCCCCCAGCCAGGTAAGTGCAGTGCATCTCTGTGAGAGCATTGTCTGCCTCTGCACCAGGGCTGGGGCCCTGCTTGTGTGCCTTGAAATCTCTGTGGAGAAAACAATCCTGGAGTTCTATCCCAATTTTAAACGCAGCTGAGGGAGGCAGCTGCCACACTGTGTGGAATTTGGTGGGGTTTTTACTTTGTTTTTAATCTTTTATTTTTCCTCTGAGCAGAAAATTAACTGTCCCTCTGTGTTGCTGCCCTGCAGAGCTCTGGGGGCTCCTTCTTGGCAGGGCTGCTTGTCCTGCTGCCTCAGGCTGCACGAGAGGCTCTGCAGGGCTGCCAGGGCTGTGAGCTTGTTCCTGATCCCGGCCACTGCTGCCACCCTGATTGCCAAGGTTGCCCAGCTTCAGCCCCCAGCTGTGAGTACCAAGAACTCTTGGCTTGATACCAGCAAGGTACCCAGAAATGTCACAGGAGTGGCACAACACACTGGTTTTCGGTCAGACCCAGTCTCAGTTTGAAGAATTCACACTCTGAGCAAGACTGTGATAATCTCAGAGAGGTGTGGAGTCGCCTGATGAGTTTGGTTCTTATTGAAAATAAGGTCAGGTGCTCAGGTTTGCTGTGATAAGCTTTGTTTTAAGGCTGGTTTTGTTTCCCCTTAAACATTTGTTGTCTTTACTTCCTGGAACAAGCTTAAGCACAGCCTGCCTGTAAGCAGTGCACTTTCCCAGCCTCTGCTCTTTATTCAAGCAGTGCTGGGTCTGTTGCTGGCCTCTTGTGTGTTCTGGGCGTGTTTGGGCCTTCTCTTTAGAAATTCTGATTTAAATCAGTTGTCCATTGCTGTCCTGCTTGAACTGTGTTTATTTTGTTGTCTTCCCCTCTGTGTGGGCAGGTTCCAGGGGATGCTGTGCAGGAAGTGCCAAGGCTGCTCAGTGGAGCTCTGAGGGAAGCTCGTGCCTGGTTCAGAAACGTTTTAAAGGAGAAGTTACTGAAGGAGTACCTGGACCACGTGGCCTTCTCTTTGTTCTTTGAACTTCGGGTCTGTTACCTTCTGATAATGTCAGTACAAAGGGGCTTTGCTGTGGCTTAGCCAGGGTCTTGAGTCTGCTGCTCAGGGCTCTTTGCTGGGCTCTGCAGCTGTGGCTGGGTCAGGAATGGGTGGGGATGGGCAGTGTTGGAGCTCACCTCTGCTCTGCTCATCCGTGGTGTTCCTGAAGGCCCTGCTGGGGTGAGGAGCTGCCCCTTGGGTTGTCCTGCTCCCAGTGTGTCCCTCTGGTTGTCCTCAGGCCTTCCAGCATCAGAGCTCAGAGCAGCCCTGCCAGCCTGAGCTGCTGCTCCCGGCCCTCCCTGGCACAGTTTGCAGCAGCAGGGTGGAAGTGGCTCACCCAAAACTCTCCTTCAGCAGCTGAGACACTTACACACTGTTTGGGCTTAGAAGCTGCCTTTTGCAGCTCTGGGAGTGCTCCTTTTCCTCGGGGTGGAAACATCTGGAAGGGCTGCAGGCTGTCTGAGGCGTGTGGGGCATCTCTACATTGTTCTTTTCATTTCCTTTCTCTGTGAAATCCCAGCACTCAGTGCTTTGCCTTGGTGTGCTTGTCCCCTGCAGGCTTGGAATAAGTTTGTGACTATCAGCTTTCCAGATGAGCAGTTCACCCAGACCTGGAGGAACACTTTACTTGCAGATCTGAAGAAAAGAATCCAGCAGGTAGGGGAGACTCCAGGCAGCCTTGGCTGCTGTCCAGAGCAGATGCAGTGGCTTGTGCTGAGCTTGGAGCAGGACAGGTGCAGAATGGCTCTGGCCATGGCAATGTCCCATGCTGTAACCTTGGTCAGAGGCCTGGCTGCAGGTCCTGGTGCTTCAGAGGAAATCCACGTTCTGAACAATTGTCACCTCTGTGGGTTTAAGAACCAGCGAGTGCAAAGTAAACACCATGGGGCTCAGAGAAGCCAAGTTGGTGCCTCTCTTTTCATTCCTTGTGCTGTTCAGGCTCCCAATGCACACCCAGCTGTGTTAGACAGTGTCCCTTTGGAAGGGACTATCTCCTCATCTCCTTCCTACAGCAGTTACACATTTCCTTAAGCCATTGATTTTCACAGTGAAAGAAGGAAACAAATATTTTCTGCTGTGAGCTTGGCTTGGAGAGGTGGATATTAAGTAATCACACTCTTTAGATGCAAGTCATTAAGATCTTTTCCAAGCATTTATTTGTTTGATCTCTCTCCCAGGCCCTCAGAAATGGGCTGATGTTCAGGTTCCTTTTATTGTCCTGATAGCAGCACTGCTTCATGCTGCCAGGAGAAACGCTATTGAGTTTATGAGAAATCTCTCTTTTGCCCTTCAGGAGCCTCCAGTGAACCAAATCTTGGTGTATTGCTGTCAGCATCTCCAAATCACACAGATGGACACCTCCATCAGCTGGTGCTTCCACAACTGTGCTGTAGAGGCTGTGCCTGCAGCTTGCCAGGTATGGTGTGTGCCCTGGTAGGGGAAGGGAGGAGACAGAAAAGTTAAATTCCCCAGCAATTCTGTTGCACAGGGGGGTGTGCCTCGTGGTGGAAAGGGAAGGTGGATGTTGCTTGAGTTGCTGTGGGTTGTTTGTTAAAGCAACAACAAAAATATCAACAAGAAATCAGGAAATGAGGTCCGTGAGGAATGTTTGTGATGTGTTTCCACTGTGAGCTCTGGTGTCAGTTGTGTCCCAGGGCTGGTTTGGCAGGCACAGACACAGCGGGACCCCAGGGTCTGACCCACCCCTGCCCTCTCTGTGTGCCCTGGCAGATGCAGAGCAATCTCCTGGAGCAGATCTCTGCCTACAACATGGGCCAGTTCAGCCAGCTCGTGTCTGCTGTCATTGTCAAGTCGTGGCCAGTCAGGCCTGGGCAGTCTGAGGGTGATTTTGATACGATTCTGCACCACCTGCTCACGTGGCCTGACATCAAACATACCTTCAGCTTTAATGGTAGGTCTGTAGTTGGGTTTTAGGAGGCCAGAGAAGCTTTTCTCTGCCCCACTGCTGCCACTGCACAGAGCAGCAGAGAGGAATTGTCCTGCTCTTGTTTTAGTTCCTATCTCAAAGCTTGAACTATTCAGTTTGGAGAGGGAACTATTTGGGTTTGGAGAGGGAAGGCCAAGGAAGAAGAAGCCACTATTCCACTTCTAATCCACTGCA